AGGGATTGCAAGAGCAGCACGGTGAGGGGGGTGGGCTTGACCCCCAGCTTGGGGGATGCTGTAGGCTGTGTTCGGTAAATGCCCAGACCCCCTGATGCTGGTGAAAGAGGGAGGGTAACCGTGCTGGACCAGAGTCAAAGCAATCCTACAGCAGAGCGGGCCTGTCAGTAGGCAATGAGGGGACATTGTGCTCCCCCTCTGCAATATTCTGATGAAGAGTTCCTGGAGGAATGGAAATTTGTGTTCTAAGAGTGAATAGACCTTCTGTCTGCCCTTGGTCTGTGGTAGTGAGTGCCCAATGCAGGTGTGTGGGTAGGAGGAGCCCGTGGAGGTGGGGGTGAGGAAGGCACTGGGGTGGCTGAATTCTGGACCCTTCTCTTATGAGACAAGAGAGTAAGGTTGGGGGGAGTATCAGGAACTAAATCACAGGCTGGGTGTTCTGACACCTCCCCACTGACACACTTGTGCATGGGTGACAGAAGGGGAGGACTGAGCTGGGCGGTTGGTTAGGGGTCTGGGATCTTTGCTCAGAGTGGGCACTGGGGGTTCTGAGGAATGTCTGCAGCTGATCGGAGCCACCCACTGGAAGTCATACTAACGAGCCAGATTGGTGCCTCGCAGTACAGTTTTGCTTCTTGTTATAAATAGCAATCTGTGCGAGGTTGCATTCTTCCCACAGCAGAAAATGTCACCTGAGACACATAGTAAATTGCATCTCTTCAAATTTTCCCAGAGTCAGCACTTCCGCTTTTGAGTAAATTATATACATTCCAGCACGCAGCGGTCCTTCTGGCGGCTGAGAGCAGAACCCAGACAATGACAGTCGAAAGGTGTTGGAGAGGGGCGCCTGGGGGGCTCAGTCGGTGAAGCATCTGCCTTCAGCTCAGGTCATGATCCCGGGCTCCTGGGATCAAGTCCCCAGGTCAGGCTCCCTGCTCAGTGGGGAGTCTGCTTCTCCCTCTGCCCTCTGTCCCCATCACTCGTGCTCTTTTTCTCTCTCTCTCAAATAAATAAAATCTTAAAAGAAGAAAGGAAGGCATTAAGAAAACCATAGAAACACCATGGACACAAGGGACTAAAATTCCAGAGCAGTGAGGACTGCCAGAGATGATTAGAGCACAACAGGCTGAATGTTTCTGAAAGGTCGAGTAAAATTGCCCTCATGTTTACAGTGCTTAGAAAGCGAAGACCTTGCCAAGGGGTCTGGAAAAGAACAGCAAAGGCATGAAAGCCCCAGAGAGAGTGGGGAATCAATGCTGGGCCTCTCTCTGCCCCCTCCCCTGGGGAGGGCACTCGCCGATGCGGGAGGAGCTGAAGGCTGAAAATCCATGCTTGGCCCCTGGGAAAATACAGATCAGCAAGGATTTTGGAGCTTGAGTGACAGAATTGTGGATGAGCGGCCCCAGACACATGGGCAGTTTCTCCTTCGAAGGTTTGCCGAATTTGGTGGTTAAAATTTGGGAGGCTACAGAGCAAAGCTGAGGACCTCTGACGAACAGAATGGAATCCCCTAAAGTCTTTCCTGGAAGAAGAGATAAAGACCTGCCAGGGTCCCAACTGAAAGCCCTAGTGGGCCTGCTCTAAAAACAGAGGTGAGGCAGAGGCAGAGCGAGCCTCACCAGAACAGAAACCGGGCCCTGACCCAGCTCCGTCCCTGAGCGAAATAGGGATTTCCTATATTCCCTACTTCCCTGCGGACAAAAGGGGGAAACTTTCTCTTGTAGGCAATAATGTCACATGGAATCCTAACAAGTTCTTTCATACCCATTTCCCACCGTACAGTGAAAAAGGACTGGACCCCTAGAAAGGCAAGACCATATGCCTAGAATCAAGAGAAGCAAAACCCAGATTAGTAGGAGCAGGTTCCAAAATAATCCAGACATTAATAGAGTCAAAGAAATGGAGGGGAAAATGGACAAAGTAGGTGACAGGAAGGAGGATATCCCCTCAAGACTTCGAATGTTTTTTTTTTTTTTTAAAGAATCAAATGGACATTCTAGAACTAAAAAAATGCAAAGTCTAAAATTAAGAGTTCAGTGACTCGGTTTAGCAGCAGATGGGCTATATCAGTAGCCAGGATTGGTGCGCTGGAGGACAGACCAATAGAACATACCCAGATTGAAACAGAGAGGACCAAGAATCAGGGTGAAAAACTGGTAAGAACATAAACCGTGTTGGATGCGCTCAGGAGGTCTAGCATTTGTGTACTTGGGAGTCCCAGAGGAGAGGAGAGAAGACGGAGCAGAAGCGATATTCGTAGAATGGTTGAGAATTTTCCGAAAAAAAAGAAAATCGAGTCTACAGATTTGAGAAGTTGAATGAACCCCCAAGCAGGATACAGATTTAGCTCTTGAAACCAGTTAATCATTGCTTTGTAAGTAGTACATACATTATTTTCCTTTTAACCACTTACAAGTTGTGTGACCTTGAACATGTTATTTGACTTTGTTGAGCCTCAGTTTTCCCATCCGTGAAAATGGGGATGAGATAGAAGACTGTATGAAAAAGTGCCTTAGGAAGTATTCATTGCAAAGAAATACCAAGGGCCCTTGCCTTTATTATTCCAGCCTGACTGACCCGGGACAGCGTGTTTGGGGCGAGCTTCAGAGTTGTGTCCTATACTCTGCTCCGCCTCTGTCCTCTGCCTTTCAAGAGGGCTTTGGGGAGGGGATGTGGAGGCTGCCCTCGAGGCACAAGTGCACAAAGATCTAGAACGAATCCAGGTTTCTGAATGAGTCTGGTGATTGCTTTGCCCTCCCAGGATTCTGGTAATTCGGAGCTGACGGGGGTTGGCTTTCTGGGATCGCCTGATCCACTCTGATCCAGCGCCCCGCCACACGCCTGCCCTAGGCCTGCTTTGATTCCACCGTTTCAGTCCCGCCCGGGGGGCTGAGTCAGACCCCAGCCAACCTCGTGGTCCCAGAAGCATTCCTTTATGCTTGCCCCCGGTTTAGGTCGCATTTTCCACGCCCCACTCCCCTGCCCCCATCTCTGATAGTGTCAGGTGAGGCGGGCAGAGCTCTGGACCCGCCCTGCTTGCATCCAGTTATCTGAAAAATGCTTGATCACGTGTCTTCACTCACGTGGACTTTGGTCTTCTAGGAGTTACCACGGTCAGAGGGAAAGAACCCGGAGTGCGGTGGAGGCATCGGGATCTCGCGGGTGGGGACAAAGGGAGGTCGTCTGGTACAGAACGAGAAGCATGTTGTATAGAGGTTCCGAGTTTTATCTCTAGGCTCTGCTCCTTACCAGGTCCTTTTCTCCTTCGGTGACACGGAGGGGACGGTCCCCCCTCACAGGCTCACTTGGGCTGATACAAGTAAAGCACTCAAGACGTGCTCGATGAATAGTAATTGCTGCTCTTAGTATTAACTTCCAGAAGTTAGTTTGCCACATAAACAAGGTTTATACTTGAGCTAATGCCTTCTTAGAAAACTCAGTAGGGGGGCGCCCGGGTGGCTTAGTCAGTGAAGCGTCTGCCTTTGGCTCAGGTCATGATCCCGGGGTCCTGGGATCGAGTCCCGCATCCGGCTCCCTGCTCCGTGGGGAGTCTGCTTCTCCCTCTCCATCTGCCTCTTCCCCTGCTCGTGCTCTCTCTCTCTTTCACTGTCTCTCTCAAATAAATAAAATCTTAAAAAAAAAAAAGAGAACTCGGGCATTTTCATATACACATAGCTTTGATACCTCTGTTTCTAGAGGTGACTCTAACTCCCTGCCTGGCTCTCTTTATTAGTTAAGGTAAGAATCTGTGTCCAGAAGTTCTGTCCTTCAGCAAAATAATTGAAGTTCCTACCATGGAAAGCCAGGCCATGCTAGTCAGCGTCTTCTCTTCCCTGTTTTATCAGTTGTAAGTGTTCAGAGTTGACTGTTGAGAACGCACATTTCCTTAATAAGTAAAACTGCTAGTAGGTTCACCCTTTAGAATATTTACAGGCACACCTCAGAGATACTGTGGCTTTGGGTCCAGACCACTGCAGTAAAGTAAATGTCACAATAAAGCGCGTCCAGTGAGTGCTGTGGTTTCCCGAGGAAGTATAATCGTGGGGCGCCTGGGTGGCTCAGTCGTTAAGCGTCTGCCTTCGGCTCAGGTCATGATCCCAGGTCTTGGGATCTAGTCCCGCGTCGGGTTCTTCGCTTGGCGGGAAGCCTGCTTCTCCTTCTCCCACTCCCCCTGCTTGTGTTCCCTCTCTCGCTGTGTTTCTCTCTGTCAAATAAATAAATAAAATCTTAAAAAAAAAAAAAAAAAAGAAAGAAAAGAAATGCTTTATTGCAAAAAAATGCTAACTGTCCCCGGAGCTTTTGGTGAGTTGCAGTTAGCAATCACAGATCACCATCACAAGTACACTAATGGAAAATGTTTGAAATATGACAAGAATAATCCAAATGTGACGCCAAGACACGAACTGAGCGAATGCTGTTGGGACCATGGCGCCAACAGACTTGCTTGACGCGGAGTTGCCACAGACCTTCAGTGTGTAAAAAGTGGAATTATCAGTGGCGCTTCGAAGGGTTTCTGCCAGAGTGAGCCTATCGTTGATTATTTACTAGCACTTACCAGTCGTTCGGGGATTATTTATTGACACGTCTCTCCCCTCTTCCTGACTTCCTGCAACGGGAGGATCGGGAACCCTGACTCATCCATCTCTTGTCTTTGGTGTTTGGTGTTTGCCTGACAGGTAGATGCTCAGTAGATATTGAGGCGTGAACATGCCATGTGCTGGATATCCTCCTTTTACCCCTGCAGCTTCATTCTGCGCCCTTGCTGCCCTGCTCTGGTCTCCGAGAGGCTGATCTGCAGACTCCAGCCCTGGGTCCACGGGGCCTCTGGCTTCTGGTTGGGGCTGGCTGGTGGCAGGAGACCACGGGGGAGAAGCGAGGGTATTTGTTCCGCCGGCTCCCCACCGGTGGGACGCTGTGCGTAGACGGGTATGTCAAGACAGCCTGCTCTCCGTGACTCTGGCCTTCCAGCCTGTAACCTCTTCCTCCTCTCATCCTTTTAGGCCAAGGAGGGGGCAACATTTAGCGCCCAGTCCCTGCACCACGGCCGGCAGCTTCTCTGTACCCAGCTCGTACCTCTACTGTTCCTTTCTTTGTCAATTAACCGTCCCCAGATTATCCCGATTGGAGCATACCTTCTTCTTGTCAGGAAACCGCGAGCCCCCATCGCTGACGGAGATTCTGAGTTGTTCAGGCTGCACACGGAGGCTCCAGGTGCTTAAAAAAGTGCACAGCGCAGTCCCTCCAGGGTGTGTGGCCAGTAGCCATTAAGGGCCATTGATGTGCGGGAGCTTTGAGGAAATCAACAGCAGTTTGGGATACTGTTCTCTCCTTAGGGCAGACTTTCTCCCGCGGACTGTGAGATCTTATTTCAGGGCGACTGTCTGCTCTCGAGTCCCTGAAGTTACCCCTCGCCGTGCTTGTGTGTCCGAGTCGGCATGGCCTGTGCCGGGAGGACCCAGGGGCAGGTGCGGCGGAGGGGGGCGCGCACGTTAGGCACCAGCTGCACCAGCCCGGGGCTTTGTAAGGCGCTCCGTCCACGTCAGGTCCAGTGTTCACCTCCTGGTCTTCTGGCTCTTCCCTGCAGGTGATTATAAACAGCACCATCACACCCAATATGACCTTCACCAAGACGTCGCAGAAGTTCGGGCAGTGGGCTGACAGCAGAGCCAACACGGTGTTTGGCCTGGGGTTCTCTTCGGAACAGCAGCTAACAAAGGTAACGCGGTCGGTCCCGGGATGCCGGGGGTCTGAGCGGCGCCGCTGCCGAGCAGGATTCCTCTCCAGTCTTTGGTTTTAGCCCTTCTGGCGCCGCAGGGCTGCCCTTTGGGAGACCCCCGGTGCCTCGAAGTGGAGGCGTCGTTGGGGAAGGAAAGCTCACGTGACATGTGTCCCTGCAGAGCCCGAGGTCGCAGCCCCAGCAAACCGCTCTGCCGGTGGGTCCTTTCCCGCGTGGGGCCCCCCGATCCCTGTGCCCCGCGTGTGCCCCGTAGCAGAGGGAGGTGCTGCTGAATGCTGACGGCGAGCAGCTCCCGCCCTGGAGTCCCTGCAGCCCTGACGACGTCACAGTGTTTGGAGTGCGGGTCGCTTTTTTTTTCTGGGGAAAGGATTCAGAGCTTTGATTCGATTCTCTGAGTGGCTTGGGACACACTCTGTGGACCGTCAGAAAGGTGTTGAGGAGCGGATCGAGAACCCCAAGGTCTGCGGGAACAGACTGAGCGCCTCTGACTGGCGGGGCCGGCGCTTGTCTGAGCGAGTGGGTTCCTTGTAGGCTGCTGGAAGAGCCTGTGTGGGTGCGGACAAGGCATTGCTCGAAAGCAACATTGGCTGCTTTCCAGGACCCAGGAACTTACGGGAAGGACGTCACAGGGTCTCAGAGAATCCGAGGCAGAGTGGGAAGGGAAGGGCTGGAGCCGGGCCGCCTTCAGGAAGCTTGGCTTCAGGACTTGTTTCTCTCTAGACGGTTGCCGTGAACATATTTACCGAACTCTGGCTGGGCCAACATGGTGCTAGGTGCCGAGGATGCAGACCGTGGTCCGTCCCCTGAGGCGTTTACAAAATTCCAGATTCCAGGGGACTCGACCGGGTCACTTAGTATGGACCTGGCTGCTTGGGTTCCCTGTGTATACTGAAGACAGCTTTCAGAGAAGGGGGATGAAGACAGGTCAGGAAGCCACCGTGCAGGGGCCCTCGGATTTGCGCCTCGCATCTGTCCAGCACGTGGGCATGTGCTAAGGAGGCCCCAGCCCGCAGATGCAGCCATCCTCCCTCCAGCCGGAAATGAGCCCCTGATGGAGGACACCCACAGACGGTCCTCTTCTGCATCTCCACATACTTCCATGGGGATGCCACTCCCTAAGGAGCCCCAGAGACCCAAAATGGCCTGGTGGCACCCTGAGCATCCCTCTCGTGCCCACCTGCTCACAGAAGCCTTCTTTCCTGGGTACCAAAACCTCCCCTCCAGGGGCGCCTGGGTGGCTCAGTCGGTTAAGCGTCTGCCTTTGGCCCAGGTCATGATCCCGGGGTCCTGGGATCGAGCCCTGAGTCCGGCTCGCTGCTCAGCAGGGAGTCTGCTTCTCGCTCTGCCGCTCCCCCTGCTTGTGCTCTCTCACTGTCTCTCAAATAAATAAAATCTTTAAAAACTAATAATAAATAAAACCTCCTCTCCAGTTCGCCAGGGCCCTGACACACGGGGAAGGAAGCAGACTTCTTGAGTCTAGGTCATTGGGTATAATTGTGGGTATAGTTCTCCTCTGAGGAGAAGCACCACGTCCCACGACTCTGGAAAGTGTGTGTTCCAGCAGACGGCCCAGCAGAGTTCTCTGAGGTGGGAGGGCCAAGAATGCTTGGCTTCATTTCGTTTGCAGAGCCGTGAGTTTGCTGGTCTGAGGCAGCACTATGTGGTATAGACGACCTTAAGCAGGTCTCCGAGCAGCGGGGCCAGCATGGCCGTGACCGACCGTAGTGTCCGTCACGTGAGGACGAGTCACTGTTTGCCCTGGATGAGGGGGCCCAATGCAGTCGGCTTTTCACTAAGCAGCTGGCTGGTCACTTAGGGGTGCGACGCAGAACTCGGGGCTCAGGCTGGATCACTGTGGTTGGCAGTGGGCCCTCCGCAGGTCAGGGGTTGGGGTGGCCTGGAGAGCAGGAGCAGTCAAGGTCACATGGGCCCCCAGGCCCTAGGCTGCCTGCAGGAGGAGAAGGCCTGGGTGTCCCTAGATTGGCCCTTCCTGCCCCTGGTTTTAAGGATTCCCTTTGGTGCGGAGGTGGGCAGGTCGGGAGAGCATTGTCTTAGTCCGTTCGGGCTGTTACAACAAAACGCCTCACGCTGGATAACTTTTACACACCAGGAGCTGGTTTCTCAGAGCTCTGGGGGCTGGAAGGCTGAGGTCAGGGTGTTGGCGCGTCAGCTTCCGGGGAAGGCCCGCAACTTCTCACGGTGCCCTCACATGCTGGCAAGAGAGCAAGTGAGCTCTATGGGGTCTCTTATAAGGGTGCCAGTCCCATTTATGAGGGCTCCCCCCTCGTGACCTCATCACCCCTCAGCGGCTCCACCTCCTAATCCATCACATTGGGGGTTAGGATTTCAACGTGAGAATTTGAAGGGGACACAGACTTTCAGCCAGTTGCAAGCATTCACGTGGAATGTGGGTATTTTCAGTTCCATTGGGCCCCCGGGTTCCACCGATGTTACTATTCCCAAATCTGTTTGTCACTAACCTTCCAGCTTGCTTTCTTCCCAGTCCCTGCCCAGGCAGTGAGGCCCCTGGCCATTTCCCCAGAGTTCAGTGCCGATCCTGACCCCAGGCCACCTGCCTCGAGCACGCTGGACAAGGAGCCGGTCCAAGTCATGCCCCCAGGGGAGGATTTATTTCCCTTCTCCGTCATCCCCCACATAACAGCAGCGGCATGAGCAAAGCCAGGAGGGGGGCTCCCCAGGAGGGGGGCTGTGAATAGGGTGTACGGGTTTTGGGGTGGGCAAGGCTGTGGCCAGAGGCCGGCTCTGGACTTGAGACTGTGGCCTGTGAAGGATTTCAAGCCAAGAAGGAAAATGATCAGGTTGATCACCTTGGCATTGTAGGTAGATTTTCCCGGCAGACCAGGCTGTTCTGGTCCAGATCACGGATGACGAGGGCCTGAGTAGGAGCTAGAGAGACTTGGGAACTACCGAAGAGCTGAACTGGTGGGACTTGGTGAGTGGACGGTGGGCGGCAGGGGCTCTGGGATGAGGACAAACTGACGGATGGACGGATGGAACTGCCATTTTCTGAAACGAGGAAGAGCAAGGGCTGTGAGAATCAGAGAATTTATGTGACGTGGAAGCAAGTATGATGGTGAGATTTGTTGAACGGCTGATGTCAACACCCTGAAGTGGGCAGCAGGGATTGGGTGCCTTTTCCCTCTGAAGGAGTGCCTGGCGGGGACAGGGGTGGGGGGACCCCCTCCCCACACCGGCTGGTGGCCTCACAGCTCTGGGGAAGCCTGTGGAGACGCAGAGGCTCCCGTGGGAGGCAGGGCCCCAGCGGGCTGTGAGGTCGCGTGCCCCTGACCCCGCCTGAGGCTCCAGGCCTTCCAGAAGCCCAGTCTGACTGAATCACTCTCCACTGCCTGGAAGAACTTCTTCAGTCTTTGGAGGAATCAGAAGAGCTAGGAAACGTAAACGGGGACCATTTTTAATGAAAAGAATCGAAAGCAGGAAGAACTCAAAACAAAAATCAGAACAAATTGTTAAAGTTCGCTTCCTTGTGCCCCTGAGACCTGGGGAGACCTCAGGCCATGCCGGCCTCCCCGAGCGGCCACTCCTCGTTTTTCCCAGGCAGAGGGAAATGTGCTGTCATTAAGGAGGAGGGCCCTGTCCTCCCGAGCCACTCTGGCTTCTCTGGCGCTCCTGGAGTGTCCGTGTGCCCCGCGACCTGCCGTTGTCACCAAGGCTCAGCCCACGTCTCCTTTGTTCAAGATGTTTCGAGTCAACTTCTTCCCCCTCTCTGTGAAGGGAACGGTTAGCCTCACTCCGGTAAATTACCATCAAGTGAGGCTGGCAGTTAGCTGGCAGAGAGGGACTCGGGCCTGAGGGCCCCCGAGGCGTGTGGCTGAGGGGACAGCTGTGGCTGCCTGTTCCTGACTCCCCAGAGCAGCCACCCGCCTCCTAGGGGAGGGTTGGTAATCATACCCAGTAACGAGGCTAGACGAAGGAACGAAGGAACGCCGGTGTGGCTACTTCCATTTAAGCACACTTTATACACACCCCTCTCCCCCACCGAAGGAAAATAGATACCCTGGTCTTCGCTGCTCCCACCCTAAGGACCCCTTCACACCACAGTCCCAGAAGTGTGACAGGGACGCTTTCTGCTCTTGAGACAGGCTCTCCAAAAAGAACAGCTGCTGCACATTCCCAGAGGTAAACCGGGGCTCGTCTGTCCACCCACCGGAGGGGACGTGGTACCTCGGCCTCCTGAAGACCGTTGGAAGGGGCTTGCACGTGCTGATGAAAGGAAGAGCTGCCGAATAGAGACAAAAGGAAGGAGATCCAGATGTGGGAGTGAGCCAGTGGTTAAAGTGAAGGTGCTTTCTGGCAGCTGACCTTGAGACGTCATTGTCCTAAGTTTGGTTCCGGGTCACTTATCACAGACAGAAGGAAGCACATCTTGCCACAAAGGAGGTGATCCAGGGTGGGGTTGCTAGTGCTCTGTGATTGATTCATACACACACACACACGGCGTTTGCTGTTGACCCATTTTAATGATTTCTTTTTTTTTTTTTTTTTTTTAAAGATTTTATTTATTTATTTGAGACAGAGAGAATGAGAGACAGAGAGCATGAGAGGGAGGAGGGTCAGAGGGAGAAGCAGACTCCCTGCCGAGCAGGGAGCCCGATGCGGGACTCGATCCAGGGACTCCAGGATCATGACCTGAGCCGAAGGCAGTCGCTTAACCAACTGAGCCACCCAGGCACCCCCCATTTTAATGATTTCATCTGTAATTCAAATTTGTATCCTTAGGTTCACCTCACCAAGTCCGTGTAGTTGGAAGAACATTGCTCTATCTTCTCCCTTTCCGATTTAAGGGTTGTTGTTTTAAAGCGGGGGATATTAATCATTCTTTTGATATGTTGTAGTGAGAATGCTTTGGGCTGCAAGTAACAGGGCTGAAACAAATAGAGCTATTCTTTTCATACAAAACAGAAGTCCTGAGGCAGGCCATTGCCAGCAGTGATACGGTG